TGTGTGTGTCTGTCTCTTTGTGTGTTAGGGGCTGGGGATGAGATGGGTGTGTATCTCCAAGTGTGTCCCTGGTGTGTGTATGTGGGGATGACAGTCTCTTTCACATGTTTCTGTTCAACCAACACCCCCACCTGGCAACTGCTAGCTTGGGTACTTTGTAGGGGAGCTGGGGCAGTGGGGCAGCAACCCAGGAATGGTCCTGTCCCCACACTCTGGACTCCAACCCTCCGTGCCTACAGGGGAGGCCCCCCTTGAACAAGAAATAACCATGAGGAAAGTCAGAAAGGGTAATGAGTTCCTGTCTGACTTTCCCCACTGTTATTTCTTGTTGCCATGGCTACAGGTAGGGGAGGAGGATGCCAAGGATGGGCAAGCACTGTAAGGCCTTGCCCTCTGGGTTGGTACAGTTTTCCAGACATACACAGACTCACAGACACACATAGTCACACACAATCACCCCCAAACCCTCAACCACAGAGAGGCTACCTCTCAGCCCCTCTTGACTTGTGTTCCCCACCCAGTCCGATGGTGGGGGCTACAACCCTCCGCCACCTGAGCTTCCTGGGTTTTGGCTGGTGAAGGGCTGTTTCCTCCACCGCATCTGGGATTCACCTGCCAGTCCCTTCAGAAGCCTTCTCTCTTCAGTGTCATCGGGTCACCTGTCTCTGCTCTGGGCCCAGGATCACCTGGGCCAGCTCAAGACCCACATTTGCTGCCTAAACAAGCAGGGTAGAGTGTGCTTTCTCCTACAGCTCATGTCACCCCTGGGCCCTGGCTGCCTTCTCCTCCAACATTGACCAAGCCAGGGACAGCTATGCTGGGCTCTGGTTACCTCCTCCCTTCCCAAGAACATTCCCCTCCCCACCATGACTACCTGAGGACACCCCAGGGCCTGAGTCCTGGGATTTGGGGTGCACCCCACTGAGACCTTCTCTTCTTGCCCCGCCCTCTTGGCTCCCTGGAATTCTGGAGAGGAGTCCCGAGAGGACCCATATAGCACGTTTTGGTGAGGTATCAGGGCTGCCAAAGGCAGGATTTAGTCTACAGTGACCGCTGAGGAATTCCAGCCTGCTGGCTACAAGCCGTCCACTCCCACGGGGATGCTTCTGCCCTTCTAGGAGCCCTCCCCACCCCACCTGGGATAGCCTCAAGGTCCCCACCAAGTCCCCTGTCCTTGCCCAGGCTCTGACACTCCAGTCCCTGTTTAGGGTGGACAGGTGTGGACGTGAGCTGATAGGAAGCCCCTTCAGAATAGGAAGTCCAGTTTAAGACCAGCACACAGGCTGGATAAGCATGTGGGACCCAGGCTTCCCAGAGCACACCTCCTCCAACTCGGCTGAGTCAGGGACACAGACATTCCCAGGGCCTATTTTCAGCAGCTTATCTCCTGGGACCCCCTGTCTGCCTGGAGGTCCAGCCCCAGGGTGAGTTGGCTGGACCTGAGTGTGTGTGTGGGGGAGGGGACTGGAGACTACCCTTTACCAGAAAGATTTCCCATTCTGGACAAAACCAGAAATCAAATGAAGGGGAGGGCATAGCCAACCGGGAGCTCCCTCAGCCAGCCCCACCCCAAGGGGCACACATATACCCTGGCTGGCCTCCAGCCCTGAGCTGAGGCCTGAAAACCCCAAGGAGTCATCTTCAGCTCCGATCTCACTGGGCTGGTTATGGGCCTCCCACCTCCAGAACCTGGGAGACTACCACCCACACCTTAGTGCTCGGCCCCCGGCCAGTGCTGATCAGCCCCCAGCTCTCTTCCTTCCCCACACCCACACTAGGACCACTAGAACTTGGGGGTATCTTGATACCCAGGCCACTTCTCCAAGCACAGAACCTGTTAAGGAACCAGTCGCTGGCACTAGACCCATAGCCCCCCATGTCCTAGGGAGGGTGGACTAGACTCATAGCCCCCCATGTCCTAAGGAGGCTAGCTTGGCCTGGGGGTAGTCTGTAGGGTCTGGAAAAGCCAGAAGCTGGTGGGATGAGGGGGCATCCAGCGCTAAGGATCACTGTTGGTAATGGGGGAGTTGTGGCCCTACACTGGGGAATGTAGGTTCTCAAGGAAGTAGGGGCAGAGAGAAGGCAGACACAGCTGCCTCCCTGGGGCCCCAGTGGAGACAAACCCAGATCCAGGGGGCAGGACAGTGAGAGAGACCACTCTGAACAGCTCAGTTTAGCAGAGTGGGATTGGGGTGCAGTTGGCCTGGCTGATCCCCAAGGGCCTTGGGGATCCCTGGACTTGCTTCCAGGTGGGATGAGACAATCTCTGACATCTGCGCGGGTGGAAAGGAAGCTCACAGGGAGGGGATGTGAAGGCGGGGGCACAACCAGAGACACAGGCGAGAATTCCAGCAAGCCCTCCATTTTGACTCCAGAGGGTGTCAGTGAAGGAAGCACCTGGCTCTTGGCCTGTGGGAGAAGAGGTGTGTGTGTGTGTGTGTGTGTGTGTGTGTGTGTGTGTGTGTGTGCGTGTGTGCAGGGGGTTTCACTGGAGCTGGTACCACTGAAGGAACCTTTGCAGCCTGGCTCCTGGTGCACCGCCCAGCAACGCATAGAGACAAACAGTAGCGCGGCCCGCCCAGGTTTCCACGACAACCGCTTGGAAACAAACACCAAGGCGCGTCATCCTCTGCCCACAGGAAATGGAATTGGGCCCTCCCTGGACTGGACCTGGGGGCGCTGTTGGCCCTGCCCAGCCGGGAGGGGCGGGGTTTGGGAGTTCATTCTCCCCTGTAGGCAACACCCTTCTCCCCTCAGCGCCCCTTGTCAGCCTGAGTGGGGTCTTCACACTTCAGAACTGCTGCCAGCCCCCACCCCAGGCTTTGGGAAAGACGTGCTCTCCCACCACCGTCTGTTTTCAACATGGTTTCCACCGGAGGCTCCCACCCGGCTCCACTCAAAGGGAGGCAGGAATTTTCCACCTAGCATCCGGAGCTGAGAGGACTGGGCATGGGGATGTCTGAACTATCCCCCAGATACCCCCCAGCCAGGAAGCCTTGGCCAGGTTCACATGAGGGTAAAGAGGGCTGGCCCACTCCTTCTCTGAGTCCACCCTGAGGCCCTAAGGACTGGCCCAATCTCCCCTTTGCCTGACCCACCCTCTGCCCCAAAGACAAACCCCACTCAGCAACCATTCTGGCTGCATTCCCAGACAACAGGTGGAACCGAGATGCTGATGCGCACTGTGAGTCCTGGGCCCGGTCTGTCTGGTAGAGGCTGCCCAAACATATCTGCACACTGGAGCTGGTGTGGCCCACCCCTGGTCCCAGATGGCTTCACATGGGACAATGGGCCAGGAATGTGGTCATCAGTCATGCCTGAAGCCATGTGGCTTGGGGGCTGGGCTTGATGGGCAGGCAGGAGGCTCATACCAAGAGCTGGGCTGGTAGGGGGCTGCCCTGGGATGCAGACCAGATGTGAACCAGGACACAGGAATGGAAGCCCAACCACTGTGTGGGGTAGGGGACATGGTGTCCACACCTGCCACCCCTTGCAGGCAGGCCCTGTCAGGGCCCCAAGGGCAGACACCTTTGGGGCCATCTAGGAGTCTGGTGCAGCAGTGGGGAAGCACAGAGCTTCAGGTGGGGGTGGGTCACAGACCGGGTCAGGGCAGGGGCTGAGCAGGAAGCATACCTATGGAGAAGAGCGCCCTCTGGTGGTAGGCTGAGACCTGGCTGAACTTTAAAAAGCAGAGAGCTAGGAGGGCCAGGCCTGGAGGTGTCTCCAGCATCACAGAAAACCCAGACACCTGGACACTGGTCTGGCAGACGTGCCCAGAGTGGGATTTGAACTCCAGGTCCTGAGGCAGCTCTTACTCTCCGTGGGCCACTCTACCCATGCTGAAGAAGACCACACTTCCCCAGCTAAGACGACACCTAGTGGACAACTGTGGGGGAACACAACTGGGCCTGTCAGCTCCCCCTGCCCTGCAGACTCTCCCTCTGTCTCTGTGGACACCGCAGCTTCCTTCCCCACAGGATGAACCTCACTTGAAAAACTGCATCTCGGGGTCTCTGATGCGTCCCAATTCTTTGCTGCTCTTAGCTGTGCCTAATGGGGACATCTTGGGGGAGTGTCAGTGCAAGCTCAGCTCTGTACACATCACCTACCCAAGACCACAGCACTCTTCCCATCACCCTAACTCAGGCTATTCCCTGAATCCCCAGGGTTACCTTCAGACCTCTTCCTGCCCTTCCACCCACTCAGGTTCCTCTGCGGCCCATCCCAGCTCAGTGCTGGCATCACTGCCCAGACCAAAGCCCGAGCCCCTCCCTCCCTCTGGACCCTGACCCTCCCCACATCAGCCTTGGGTACATGATCCCTCCCCCAGCAGAAGCCCCACACAAGGGTGTCAGGCGCACCTGTGGAGACAACAAGGGGATGCCATCTTAGGCTTTTATCCATTCCGCAAACAGAGACACAGCTACGAGGGCCTGAATTCTCAAATTCTTTATTGACTGCAAAAGTCTGGGCAGCTTAGTGTCTGGCCACATGAGGGCCGCGGGGCAAGGCGCTTTGGGGCATGGTGGGTGCCAGGCAGAGGGCTCTGCCCGCAGGAGCTGTGAGGGTGAGGTCAAGGGCAGCATAAATTACACTGGAGGGCAGCAGAGGAGGGAGAGCGGGACAGCCACCTTGGAGAGACCCACACTTGGGGACAGAGGACACAATAGGACATGTGTGGACACAGGGACATAAGAACAAAGGGACATGAATGGGTACGCGGAGACATGGCAGAACACGCAGGAACACAAGTACATGTGGGAGCACTGGGGGGGACATGTAAAGGTACGGGGCATGTGAACACTGAAACACAAAAAAGGATAAGAGAAATACAGGAAGGGTGGAAGGGCTTTGTCTCCCCACTCCCAACACTCACACTCCGACTTGCTGGCACAATGTGCCTGGCAGAACGGGCAGCCCCCTCACACTCGCTACGAGAGCCAAGCAGTGGACCTGGGAGGGGCCAGCAGGTGCAGAGGTGGGTGGGCAAGGCTGCAGACCTAAGGCTGAACTTTGCCTTCAGGGTCCCGGTCATAGATGTAGCTCCCCACGGCCCCAGTGTTCACGCCTGCAAAGACAGGCAGTGGTAATGGGGAGGGGGGCAGGGGGCACTTGAACTCTCCAAACCCCTTGAAGTCCACTCACCCTTGGGTCCAAAGAGGATTCCGTAGCAGGGCTTGTGGCAGTAGGGCTGGCCGTCGTGCTAGCATGGGAAGGAGGGGCTGAGACCCAGGTTCACTGCCCACCTCTGCCTTATGCCTCAGTGGATTCCTATTCCACGTAGGCATCATCACCGGCCTGACTCCCTTCCTGTGGGCTCTCTCACCACGAGGCATCTGCGCGCCGACATGTCTCCGATCCGACCACCAGAGGGCAGCCCCTACCGTGCCGCCCTGCCGGCCCCGCCTCGGAAGAACCGCGCGCTAGCCCACCCTCGCCGACAGGCACCCTGCCCTGCTCGAGCGTGCCCCTCCAGCCCACCCGCGGGCCCTCACCTCCGCGTGTTCACCAGGCGCCCTACGTGCCCCTTGCTTCGCCCGTCCTGCCTCCCCTTGGTCCTACCGTGCCCGTGCGTGCCCCTCCAGGCCTGCACGTCTCCTCCCGCCCACCCGCGCAGCCTCACCTCGGCGTGCCCACCGGGCGTCAGGGTCTTCCCACAGCGCTCGCAGCGCAGACATGGCCGGTGCCAATCCTTGCCTAGAGACGTCACCTTCTCGGCTGGAAAGGGGGACATGGTGAGGCGCAGCGCCTCCGGAGGCGGCTCACAAAGGCTGGGCCCGGTTGGGGAGGGGTATTACCACTCACCGAAATAGACTTTCTTGTTGCAGCGGGGGCACATGTTGGGTTCCCCTGTGAAGGTCGTGACGCTGGAAGCTGGGGGTGAGTTGGAGGGCAGGTCAGGCAGGTCGGAGGGGCAGAGGCTGCCCCAACACTTCCCAGACACCTGGCCCAGTCCACCTTTGCTGGGCCCCTTTGGGGGACCAGTGGCCTTCCGCTCCTCAGCACGGGCCACAGGGACCTCAATGGGGCCGGTGACTTGGGTCCCCTCAGCTGGAGGCTTCTCATAGATGTAGGAGCCTGCGCCACCGATGTTCACACCTGTGGGATGACAAGCACAGGTAGGGTGGGTGACAGAGACCTGCCCATCACCCCACCCTCACCCCAAATGTCTCACAGTGGTCCTCCATGGCCCAAGAGATTTCCAAGAGGGGCTTGGGGGGGCCTGCTCTCAGGATGGCGAAGACCACCCAGGAGGGGCCCAGCAAGGGTAGACTCCTAGGAGAAAGGGGGCTGGCTCACTAGGGGACAGGAACCAGAGAAGGATGGGAAGATGAAGTGGAGGGAGGCACTGCCCAAGTCCACCCTGGGGACCCACCTAAGTGAAGTCCCAAGGCCTTTGCTGCAGCTGACCCCCAGCTAGTGTGCTATTGGGAGGATCAAGGTCCACCACTGGCGGGGAAACCATGCTCACCTTTGGGTCCAAACAGCGTAGCGTAGCAAGGCTTGTGGCAGAAGGGCTTCCCATCATGCTAGACAGAGGGACCGTGGGGGTGAGGGCCGTGCCCCACCTCTGGGCCAGTTCCCAATGGTTTCTTAGGGCTCCCCCCCCCCACCCTGAGGAGGGGCTCACCTCAGCATGGCCCCCTGGCGTCAGCGTCTTGTTGCAGCGCTCACACTTGAGGCAAAACTTATGCCAATCCTTGCCCAAGGAGCTCACCTTCTCAGCTGCGGAGAGGCAGGCCACGGAGGTCAGGGTGAGCCCCGCAGGGCCTCCTCAGGGCAGCCTCAAAAGCCCAGCGTCATTCCCGGTGACAGCCCCAGCTGGGGTTCCTCCCGCCACCACCCTTCTGTGTAGAAACCCACCCACTCTCTCTAGGTCTTGTGGGTAACGCAAGCCCCTGGATCCGACATCTGCCAAGGAGGGGTCTGTGCCGTCAATCCTCCCAACAAACGCACTGACTTTGCCTTGTTCACACCTGCCTCCTTCACAGGCCGGCCCTCACTCTCACTTCTGCCTCCTATTCATACACCTGCACCGACTCACACCTGCTCCTCTCTCACAGATCTACCCCCAATACACATCTGTCCCTCGTTTTCCCACACCTGGCTCCTTCCTCACACCTCAGCTTCTCCCACACCTGTTTCCCTTTACACAACTGTTCCTCCTCACACCTCCACCCACTTACACTTGCTCCCTTCACACCTGACTCTCCCACACTCCTGCCCCCTCCATACCCACCTGCCTCCCCTCCACCACACACACACTTCTCGCCCCCCTCCCCATGTCAGGCCCTAATGGAACTGGGAGTGGGCCTGGTGTAGTGTTTCCTGTATGACCTTGTAGGGTCCTGACCAGGTAAAGACAGAAATGACCCATCCCTGTGCCTCCACGGTCCCAGGCAGGACCCCCACCATCTATATTTAGCTCCCTCATCCTGAGCTCTGAACTCGCCCTCCAACTACCTCAGGCTGCCACTTGGTCTACAAAGGTCTGAGACCAGCTGCCAAGGGTGAGGTCAGACACCCTCCTTGGACCCTCCCCACCCGGCAAGAGGCTGCTAGGGCTGCCTCCCAATAGGCGGAAGCAGGACAGGAAAAGGGTGGAGGGGAGAAGACCGGAAGAATGGCTGGAGCGGAGCTGAAATTCCAAAAGGAAGGGGCGGGCTGAGCGCCAGGGAGGGCAGGCAAGCAGGCTTCCTTGGCTGGACTCCATAGAGTGGAAGATGCCCTGCAGACCCTCATCTGCCAGCCCGGGAGAGTGGGGCACTGGCCAGGGCACAGAGGTCACGGGGCTGCTGGGGAGCACTTAGGTGGTCAGGCTCCGGCACTGAGACCCCCACAAGCTTCCAATGCCATATGCCCCTTGGCTCTGGCAAACCTCTGTGACCCCTCTCTCCCAGGCATAGCCCTCCCCCTAGACCACACCAGGGCAGACAGAGCTCTGGTTCCAGGCTTGGCGTCCCTTCCCTGGAAGCTGTGACAGCTGCAGCTCAGAGCTGCCAGGGCTTCGAGGCCCTGACCAGGCTCTGGGGAGACCCTCAGTCCCACTGAGTGAGCAACACCCAACATGTCCTGACTGGTTGGGAATATGGGACCAACTGGACCTAAGTGGCTTGCTAAGGGATCTGGGATCTGGGGTTCAGCATCCTCAGTCCATCACGGAATCCTGGGTGTCCTGGGCCTGTGGGTTACTGCTGAGTGCAGCCTGGCTGGGGGTGTGGGCCAGATCCCAGGCCTCAACCTCACCACTTCCCGTGAAATGCCAACCAGCCAGTCTGAGGAGCCTTTGTTCTGTGCTGGAAACCAGCACTCTGCAGAAAAGCAGAAGCCCTTTTCCGGGTTGTCCAGAGGACTGCTGGCCAAGGCTGACTTGGCCTGGCCTGACCGGACTCGGAGCAAATTCAGGGACAGTGGAGAAGTACAAGGGCCCTTGCAGGACAGGAAGGGCTCCTGGGAAGCAGCTGGAATGCCCTGGGCTAAGAGCCACCAAACAGCACAGTACTTCCAGGCTGAATCTGGTCCCTCCCCTCTGGGAAGCGCAAAGCAAGTGTGAGCCTCCCCTCCCCTGCCAAGGGGCTTCCCTGTCACGACTAAGGTGACAGGGACGAGCCCCAGACTGTCCTGTCCTGGGTTCTGGAACTAAGCTTGCTTCTCTCAGTGCAGGCGGTGGGGTGGGCGTATGAGAATATGTGGGCAGAACCTTCCCTGGCAAAGTTGGGGGACAATAGGGGGAGTGGGTATGAGGGGAGCAACCGTGAGGACGCAAACCCCGGTATGAGTAACCCAATGGGCTGGCGCTTGCCTTGAGCTCCAAAAATGCCAGGAGGGGGCTCCAAACCAGAGGCATCCAGGCAGAGAAGGTGCCAACCGATTCCCCCTCCTTTTCTGACCTCGAGGAGGAAAGGGGTTCTGGACACCGGTTCTCGGTACCTGCCCTCTCCTACCTACCTGGGGAAATTCACACCATGGAAGAGAGCGCGTTGGGACATGTGCGAGGGCGAGGCCAAGGTCGCCTCCGCGTGGCCCAAGTCCAGACAGAACCTGGGCCCGATCCGGTGTGAGTAGAGGTAGGGGCGGAGTGACTACCCGGGGCCACGCGGGCCTGGCCACGTGTCAGTGGGGAAGCGGATCTGGGGTCCACCCGGCCGGGAAGGGCCAAGAAGGACCCGGAGCCCGGGCTTCTGTGGCCCCACCCGGCCCCGCCCCGTGCGGCGCCGCCCAGCACAACGAGATGCGCCCGTACCCTAGCTAGAAGCGCGCCTCAACCTCCGACCGCGTCCCGGGCCGATCACGCCCCGCCAACCCAATCCAGGCCGGGGACCCCTAGTCCCCACCAGCAGGGTCAGGGTTCAGGAAGGGCCTGCTCGCAGTCTCATTCTTCGGTCGCACCCGCGAGGGCAGACCTCGGGAACCAAGCTCTCGGCCCGCATCCGGGCGTGGGACCGGGCGCACGCCGAGTCCGCGGGGCGTGGGACAGGGAACAGGGGGCAGAACACTTACCGAAGTACACGGTCTTGTCGCACTTGGGGCATTTGGAGGCCATGGTCAGTCGACTGGTCCGCCCGCACCCGCAGCTTATGCTCGTCTCCACCGCCGCCGCCCGGTGCTTGGCCCCGCCCCACCCGGGCTTCCCGCGCACCCATTGGCTCCGCGTTCGGGCGGGGCATTGGGAGCCCGCCCGCCGGACTGCCGGCCGCCTGGGGGCGTAGAGGGAGCGGGGGTGCACCTGCCGGGGGTTAGAAACCGCCCCCAACCCCCCCGCGTGGCGCCCCTAGTCGTTCTTGCCAAAGGAGGCGTCTAAAGGGCCCGCTCTGACGACTGCGGCGCGGTTCACGCCTTGGCTGTTTTCATGGTGAAGTCAGGCGCGGCCGGGCAGTGGGCGGGGAGTCAGCGCTCCCCTGGAGCTCTGGGAAGTGGGCCTGGGCCGGAACCCGCAGCCCCAGGAGACGCAGACTGATGCCTCGACGGGAAGGCCGGGTTCCCGGCGTCCAGGCCCGCCAGGGTGCAGGTGCGGACGCGGGCTCCGGAAGGATCCCCACCCTATCCTGTCGCCCCGCCGCGCGCGAGCTGAGCCCTCTCTTCCCTTTGTTGCTGGATTTCCATAGCAACGGCCATGCAGTGGGATAGGAGCGGGATTCCAGGGTCCAGTCTCAGTTCTATCCAGGTCCTGGTCCCCATCCTCTTCCCCCAATTTAACATTGTCTGTGGTGCTGACGGGGATTGTGTGATGGAAGAAAACTATGAGCGGGGACTGGTGGCAGTCTGGATCTGACAGACCTCGGGGACCCACTAACGCCGGGGTCCCGCTCCACTCACTAAAGGCAACCTATCCAAGCGTCCAACACACAAGGGGCAGACAGGCTGTGGGCCCCAAGGGTGGGGTGGTGGTCCTCAAATAACTTCCCCGCCACCCAGGATGTCCTCAAGCATCCTTCAGGCTCTTGGGTTTACTGTTGGGTTAGTGAAACAAATCAGATGGATCGCAAGCCTCAAGCCTACGCTTAGGATCTCTAGGGTGCCCCCAACCCGCTGTCAACCAGGGGCCACTAACCTGCCCTGCCCTGCTTGGTTGGCTCCACCTTCTGTTCAGACCTCTCTCTACCTGCCCCCTCCCCCACACCTCAACCCACGACAAGGCCCAGTCTGGGCACTAGCCCTGCCCCCAGGGGTCTTCTCCAAGCCTGTAACCTCTTTCCATTGCCCCTTCCCCCAGGGTCCACAGCCTGATTTTGAGGTCAAGACCTGTGGCTCCTCCGTCTACTTTGTGGACCTGCTAGCGGAGGACAAAGATGGGCTTCCCTCAACTTTTCCCAGCCCCTGTTGTCCCCGTATTTTCTGGAGTGGCCGAGGGAGGCAGTCCATGTCCTAAGGCTTCTTGGGCCCCCTGGCCTGGTGCCTCCTACCCCCAGGCCTCACCAGGAGTCCAGCAGGAAATATCTTCCCACAAGTACTCATGCCTCTCACAATCAGTTCGTTTCCATGGTGACAACAACCCAGAAATATGTGACCCCCCCCCCCAAGCTTGACTGACCAGCCAGACCAGGCCCCTCCCTCCCCCACACACACCTCTGGACCTGGGCCAGTCCAGACAGGAGGTAGCAGGCAGGACGCCTCAGGCCAGTCCCCTTCCTGAGGAGGGTGGCCTGGCCCCTGGTGAGCCCCCCTCCTCTCCCCCTGCCCTGGTCCTACTACTGCTGCTCTCCCTTTCCACTGCCAACCCCTGGCCCCCAATGTCTTCAGGCTGCCATGGAGAGGAGAGCCCACACCCTGCCTGGTGATGTGCTGATAACCCAGGAATGGTATTGGCATGGACCCTGGCGGAGTGGAGCCGCAGAGCGGGGGAGGAGCAGCACAGGGATGTCCCCCCCACCCCCACCCCCCGCCCCCCATCGTTTCCCTGCTGCCTTCCTGGACCAGGGCCAGCAGCTCCCTGAAGTGACGGGGCTATTCTGGGCCTGACAGGAAGAGCTGCAGATCGATGGGCAGCAGAGCAGTGAGTGGCCTTGACCTCCCACTCACAGACCAATGGGGGTTATGGGTTGGGGCAGTGGACAGGTGTAGGCAGGGCCCTGGCTGACCATGGGCAGAGGCAGCTGCAGTGGCGTGGCACCCTGCCAGATGACCCATGGCGCCTTGCTGTCCATTGGGGTCATTGGGAGCCCAGTCTACTCCGCTGTGGGGAACCAGCATCTAGGCTGTGGGTGGACAGTGGTGTGCCCAGGACCGTGTCTGGAGATCACCAGACGAACTTCTCAACTCTTGAGGGCTCCAGCCCTTGCTGTGACTTGGCATCGTTAGGGTCAGGGTTGGATAGCACAAAATGGGTGTTGGCCATGCCCCTGGGCTCAGAGCCCTTGCCCACCTGCCTGTGACCCCCTAGGATTTCGTCTACACTGCCCCCGCCAACACACCAACAGTGGGTGTGACCAAGGTACCTGGTGGGTACCCTGACTCTCCTCACCTAGACAGTGGCCAGGACCTGTGAGAGGCTTCCCAGAAGACTTGACCGAAGGTCTAGACAGGATGGCAGACAGCAGGGTCAGGGGAGAAGGCTGGGCAGCCCAGGGGTTGGGGCAGAGCCAGGGACACCTCTCAAGTGCTGGAAGGTCCAGACCAGAGAACGGAAAAGGGACTGGGGGGAGGGCAAGGTGATGGGGCAGGGGTCTTTCAGAGGATCCCTCCTCTTGCCTAGTCTCCAAAGTTCCCACAGGTCTGAGGCAGGACCACCTGCCCCCTTGCAGTCCTCCAACCTCAGATCCAAACCTGCAAAGGCCTAAGAGGGGCTGGCTGATACCTCCCTCAAGGTTACAGACTGGCTCCCAGCCCCACAGTACAGACACAGCAGATAATCCAAGCTGTGAGCACTCGTGGTGGAAAGACCCCAGGCCTCCAGATTAGCTATCAATGGCTGCGGGGTGGGCCCAAGCAGCTCCTGACAGCGGTGGGGTGTGCTGCAGCCATTTCTCGACACCCAGCCCTGTCACCCCACGGCAGACCTGGGAGGCAGGCCAGGACACCCCTTTATCTGCCTCAGGACAGGCACACAAGTGGTTTCTATTTTAGCTCGACACTGAGATTTCCACCATCATAGGCTTCCAGTAGGAAGAGGAGTTGGAGGGAGGGGGGCAGGGCTGCCAGGCGTTCCTGAGCCCAGCACACCTGTCCCACAGGCCTGCAGGGGTGAGGTGCAGGGAGAGCCCAGAGGTAGGATTTCTGAAAACAAGGGACTAGCTGAAATCTGAAAACCCCTCTGTGGAAACTCCACACCTGCTGGCGGGCGGCCCCTCGGCTCTGAGCGGGATGCCTCCGACAGCTGGGCAGGCCCTGCCAGCTCTGGAGGATGCAATGAGTCCTAGGCAGCCAGGCTGTGCTGACCAGCAAGGAAGAAGGGGCCCAGGGTGGTGGGAATGGGCCACTCCACCCTCCACAGGAGGAAAAGCCCTGTTGTCATTGTTGTGAGGCTGCTCGGGACCAGGCTCACTTGGGCGTCCCACCAGCCAGGAATCCGTGGGAGGAAGGCACGTGCATGGACACAGAGCTGGTCCCCTGTAGACGCTGGGGCCAAGGGGCCTGGGCTCCACAAGTACCAGGCAACTGGTCAGGTCTGACTTTGGGGGTGCCAGGCAGAAGGCCCTCAAGCTAAGACAGAGCTTCTGGCCCAGGGTCTGCATGCTCATGGCAGGGCTACCAGCCTGGGGTCCCCACCTGCTCACCTACCTGTTACACCAGCTAGTTCAACAGAGCCCTGCTTGGGCCAGTCCCAAAGTCTGAGGGAGCCTTGCCCTTCACTTACACAGTGAGAGCTGCCATGTGTTGTCTGGGGAACAGGGCTGGATTAGGGGGCGTGTACACAGGGAGCTGTGGGGCAAGGTTCACATATTCAAAGGTGCTGGGGCCTCAGACCAGGAGGTGGGTGTGGATGAAGATATGGGGGCAGGGATGAGGACCACCTCTGAGTGTTATTATTTTTTTTTCTTTCTTTCTTTTGTTTAATATGAAAATTACTTGAAAAGACAAGGGCCGACCCGGCAGGCATCATGGCCGACGCCAACCACGCCGACCCTAACATTCCGACACAGCTCAAGTTCGTCTACAAAAAAAGTAATAAAAATAAAATTTAAAATGGCACCTTCAACAGAACACAACGAAATCTTACAAGCCAGCCTCCCACTGGGACGAGAGACCCCATAGTGTGCCCAGGGCCCCAGGGCGGGCACCATCTCCGCTCTGGCCAAAAGTAAACACAAAGCTAGGGGCTCGGGCATTCTCGGAATAAGTTAACCGCACTTTTCCCTGGTGTCCACAAGAGGCGCGGCATAGGAGGGGCCACTACCAAAAACTGAAGAAGGGAGGAGGAGAAGGAGGAGGAGGCGGCGGCGGAGGTGGCAGGCGGGAGCAGGGCGGAGGCCGCCAGGCCAGGCCAGGCCACTCGGAGCAGGTGTCAGAGCAGGCGGACGGGCAGGTCCAGGCGGCCTCCATCACACTGCCTGGTGCTCTAGGGGGGTAGCTCGCCAGCCTTCCGCCCTAGTCCTCAATGACAATGGGCTCGTCGTTCACGGGTGGCGGAGGAGGTGGCCGGAGAGGCAGCGCCTGGTTCTGGCGCAGGGCAATGGGCTTGTAGGGCCGGCGGGCTGCGCGTTTGGTTTCGGAGGAGGAGAGGAGCTTTCGAACCTTCCTGCAGGTGGGGACGCAGGACGTGAGGCCGGGAATGGGCGCACCCCGACGCTCACCCCAGGGAAGGCCTCATCACCTGGTCTCCTCAGTGGCCATGTAAAACACGTCGTCGGGGGCGTCTATCCAGTTCATCCGCCGCCGCTTCACGGGGGGCAGGGAGCCCCCCCGGATCAGCCGCACTTTGGTGGGGTACGACTTCCCATTGAGCAGTAGGTTCCGGCTTGGTCCCTAGGGCAGAGGGAAGGGGAGGTGTGACAAAGTGGGTGGATGAGGTGGGGCTGGGGGCTGTGCATGAGGACATCGCTCTCCCCCAACTCCTGCAGCCAACATTGCCTTCCTCCACCTCCCAGGCACTCCTGCCAAACGCCCGCGGATGTTATGTGCACACAGGTGGGGTTGGGCCCTTCTTACCATATGCCTGGTCTGTCCATGGTTTGTCAGACCTGAGGAGAGAGGAGAGGACCAAGCCATGAGATCCCGGGGGAGGTGACAGCAGCTGAGTGCATGGCGTGCACAGGAGGGGCTCGGGGCTGCGCTCCAGCCTGGCAGGGGACATCTGGGGGCCTGGACTGCCTGTCCTAGCCCAAAGCCATGGCGTCCGGCCCAGGCCTGCCCAGCAGCTCAGAGCCCTCACTGGATGGACGGACAGTAAGGAGACCTGTGCCCCTCCCCATTCATTCAAGTGAGCCAAGACAAACGAGCAGACAACGCCCAGCCCCGTCACCAACAGAGCTGCATTACGGCGCCTGCCTGGCAGGTCTCAGAGCCAGCCCTGGCCAGATCATCCTGCCGGGAACTCCAGCCAAGGCATGGGTTCCTCCACCCTGCAGGGTCCGGGTCTGGAAGCTACGAGCCAGACTAGGCAGCCACAGCCCAACACGTGGAGACAAACACCCACCGAGGCCACAGCCACTCCCTGCTCTGCCCACTATGAGTGAGGGTGCAAGCCGTGCGCACACACACACATGGGTGCATGTACATGTGTATACTCACATGTGAAGGCAAGTGTGCCCATGAGCATGTATGTGCAGGATCCCATGTAGAGTGTGCCCACCCGCCCTGCCAGCCTCCCAGACACACATTTCTTAGGTGATGTTTGAGTCTTTTCAAGTAGCAGAACCCCGCCTCTGCCAAACAGCCGGAGCCCCAGCCTCTCCTCCCAGCTTCAGGAACCCCATCAGTGAGGTAGAGGCCACAGCACGTGTGTGGCCTGCAGCCCCTAGGAGCCCACAGGAGACACTTACCTAGGTAAGTTCCTAGCCGTCCAACAGATGGTGGAGGGGAGAAAGCAGACAGTTCAGTTAGAGAGGGAGGGCGGAAGGGCTGGCATCCCACAGACTAGGCCCCTGGCCAGGGGTGTGCTAAGGCCTGGTGGGTGACCCACACGAGACAGAGATGGGCACAGCTGTGCCCCCCAGCCGGCCACGGGACTCTCCTGGAGCCAGAAGTTGAGACTGGCATCAACCCAACCGGTTTTTTAAAAAAATCAATTGAACTAAATGGACTTTAAGTTGCTATTTTTAGCAGCTTCTCAAAACAAACTCAAAAGTTCAAAGATGCTTATTGATGAGGGTTAGCTTCCTGTGTCAGAGCATAACTGGCTGTTCCTGAGACACAGGGGCAGTGGGGAGGCCCCTGGGGGGCTAGAAGGGAGGTGCCCGCCCACACCCCCAGCTGCCGTGTAGAGACACACACAGAAACACAGGCTGCACAAGTCAGGTGAGAAGCATGCGGCTGGCATAACACAAGCACGGGGTGGCACAGGCTGCGAGGCAGTCCAAAGCCAGGAGCCAGGCCGGGTGGGGTGGACCGAGGGCTGGCGGGGTGTGGACTGCCTGGCACGCACGCACGCACGCACGCACGCACGCCAAGCATGAGCAGCACAGCACAGACACATCTCGGCCGGCGCCCAGCGGCGAGCCCGCCTTACCCCTACTGGGCATCAGGAGGCGCTTCTTCATGTTGCCTGGCAGTGCCCGGGGCAGAGAGGGAGAGAAGACAGTGTCAGTGGGCACTCTGGTGGGCTTGCCCCCAGGCGGCGCCCAGCACCGCGATCCACACTCACCGTCCGCCCCATTGTGTTGCTCATAGCTCCGCTTGCCCAGGATGGTGGGGGAGCCGTTGTTGATGACGGGGGCTGCCTTCGCGGGCGTCAGACTGCTGGGTGCGCCAGACAAACTCCTCGAAGGTTCAGGCTTCGGAGGGCGCGGGTGGGCCTCTGTTAAAGGATGTGGAGTCAGGACAGCTGCTGGGCAGACCCAGGTGAGGAAGTCCAGGGCTTTGACTTCAGGGTGTCAGTGACACTGCAGACAGCCTGGAGCCAGAAGCTGACCCTGACCGCTGGTGGACTCCTGCTGAGATGGCCCTCAGGCACGGGAGGGTGTCACACCAGAAACCTGAGAACCTCTGACTGGTGCAGGGGGAGTCCACTATCCCATGGCCAGGGCCACCATCTGCCCAGAAGGCTCCCAACCGGGACACGCCCACCACAGTACAGCGTCAGCCCCTCAGTCACCAGCCCAAGGATGGCTGGAACATAACACGCCCCACCCAGCAGACGCTGCATGGCAGAAGACTAGCCAGTGCCTGGGACCTGTCCAGAGACAGACCAGAAGAACTGGCTCACATGAGGTCCTGGGCTGCACCTGCTCAGAGTCTGAGGAGCTGACCACCAGGTTTCCCAGATGCCTCCGAGGGAACGAAGCCAGGCTGAGTGACCACACCTGTGTCTACAGGGAATGAGCTCATGGCCCTAGAATGTCCTCACAGGACAAAACTGCGTCCGTGGTGGAGAGGCTGACTCAGTCCAGGCCTGGACACTCAGCCCCTCGCAGACACCCATTCAAGCCCTTAGTGCAGGGCACCTGTGGTAGTGGACCAAGGACATCAGCAGAGGGTCAGTGTCTGATCTGAGGCCTACAATATACCCCCTTCCTGTGGTCAGCTTTCACCAAAGGCCCACTGCCCAGAGGGCACTGGGGTGCTGGCATGCCCAGGGCCAGCAGGCATGAGGAAAGCAGGTTGTTGGCATTGAACTAGGGCAGGGTGGCAGAGACCACCTTCACACCACCTGGGGCAGGTTCAGGGCCAGGGGACTCCCAGGGTGGGGAGTAGCACAGTTCCCTCTGCTTCTCTTGTGGACGGCAGGCACCCACAGCCTTTGGGCATCACCAGGGTGGCCGCCTCCTTCCAAACCATCTGGCTTGGCTTGCTGAGGTGGGCAGGCTTACCAAGGTACCGGAGCACAGCCTCCAGGGGCTTCCGCACCACCTGCTTCAGCACCAGCGGGCTCTGGGAGGCCTCGGGCAGCCGGGCTGTGCCTGTGGGCAAGGTGCTGGGTGAGGGAAGCTGCCTACCGACAGGCAAATCAGGGACGATCTCCTCCCGCGCCTGGGTCCCACTGAACTGGCAGGATAAGTGGGGGGGCCACTCACACTCGGCCTTGATGGCGGCGCTATTGATGGGCATGTAGGGGTGCCGGGCGGCGTGGCAGGGGCGCAGGATCTCACGGCACAGCCGCCGGGCAATGCGTGTCAGCTTAGTTGTGTACAGATAGAAGGCCTGCCTGGTCTTCATGGCAAACTTGGGGCTTCCGCTGCTCCGAGTAGGGATACCGTGTGGGCTCTGTGGAAGGGGCACAGCGGCCCGACACAACGCCATGACCAGGGGCCCGTGGGCCGGGGTGCAAGGCTGGGCACAGGGAAGAGCAGCACCTGCTTACCATATTACTACGGTTGGGTCCCGGCCGCTCACCATCTAAGCGGGTTGGCATTTTCAAGCCACCATATTTCTTCCAATATGTCCAACAAGAGGCACAGAGACGACACTGCATGTTAGGGGGACCCCAAGAATACCACTGGTAAGACTGTGTGGCTACGGACAACAAAGTTGAAGATATACATGTTCTTAACAGAACCAGCGATGTCAGAGCATTAGAGCTGCCCCCGCCCACGCGCCCACGCAACCGGCTCCCCCTCCCCCACAGGCAGGAGCCCCGCCCACCAGCCCACAGGAGCCCCGCCCATCCGCCTGGCTCAGGTCAGGCTAGGGCCCTGTCTGGGTGTGGCAGGAGCCTGTGGGGCAGCCGGGTGCTGACCACACCATCACTTACTGTAACAGCTCTCGCAGGCTCGGCCAGCACTAGGGCTCTGGCCTGGCGCCCCTGTGCCGTTCACCACACCTGCCTTGACGCTGTTAACGTGGATCTGGTTTGGATTTGGCTTGTTACTTAGGGAACAGGAAAGAGAAGAATAATGGCGTCATGGAGAGCCAGTCTGCAAGGGCCCAAATGTAAACCCTGCCCCCCTTGGACCAGAAACCACTTCTCCCATCGTATAGACCAGAGACTGGTATTGGCGCTAGCCATGATCAACCCTTCTCAGTAAGATGGCCCAGCCTCGTGGCCAAGCACCCCATCCCTGACTCCTGAGGCCATCATGTGTCCATACTGGCCCTAAGCAAGGTGTCACGGGGCTCCTAGGACCCCAAAAGCACCCAAGCCTCCACGGAAGCAATGTGCCTTCCAGACCCACTCACCCTGGTGGGACCAAGTTCTTGCCCATGTCCTGGAGCCAGGCAGGGCACACGGGACCCACCCATGGGGGTCTCTGACCCTGGGACCCCACAGCACTTACTAGTTGGGTATATAAACTTGCTTTAACTTGCTCTCAGCTTCTGCTGCCTTTAAGCGTTTCTTAAAACACAGAAAACAAAGGGTCAGAGGTCAGCCAGATGCTAGCTACCCCGCCCCCGCCTCCCCCCCC